GTCAATGGTCTATAGCTCTGGGTCAATGGTGTACACAGCCTCTGGTCAATCCCATGACCAGCAAAAAGAGAAGAAGAGAGATATTTGCTGTACAGGTAACAATTCTATCCACTTTTTCCTATTGACTTGCCACAAGCAGCTTCACAGTTCTGAGATTCTTTCTGCCTCTGACGAGTTCCTTGAGTTTCAAGATTCTGTCTGCTTGTGAGGTAGGAGATCAGAAGCCTGAGCCCATTGAGAGCTCATGCGATAGAGTCTACAGGTTCTGAATGGAGGTCTACAGAAGCCGGGCATGGGAGCTCACACCTTTAACACCAGTACTCTGGAGGGAGAGGCAGGCAGACAGCTATAATTTCAAGGCTAGCCTGGTCTATATAGTGAGTTCTAGGACAGCCAGGGCTATAGAGAAACCCTGTCTCAGAACAACAGACTAACAAAGTGACAGTGCCATGGCTCTAGGTAGAGGCTTTTAAACCCACTGCGTTTTCTGGCTTACTTCAGGAACTACAGAGGCTACCTGAAATCTGACCTCAGATAAAGAGAATGCACTCTATGCAGCACCAAAAGAGGAAACCGAGCAGCACCAGGAACTTGCTCAAAAATAAAAACAGCCATTACACACATTCAAGAAAAAAGAAGGGAGAGAGAAAAGCAACATCAAAACACACCAGTGTGGTGGCAATGTGGCTACAGTAACATCTGCTCAGAAGGCTGAGACAGAGAGGTAACTTAAGCCCAGGAGTCGAGACCAGAGCAACACAGTAGGACTCCATCTTGAACAGAAGAAAACCAAACAGGAAATGGGACTTTCTGCTGATGACGACTTTGAAACTGGGTATAACTGGCATTTCTGGGTAGCTACCTTGGCAGCTCTGCCCCCTTGTGGGTTGAGACTTTGGAGATGAAGGCCTTCATGCTGTCTGAGACCTGTGCTACGTCGTAGTTCTGCTCCTCCTCCTTCTGGGGAACAGGCTGTGATTCCTTCCTGCCCATGGTGTCTTGCAGCAGCTGGTCCAGCTGGTCTGGTGAGAGGACTAACCACTGGTCATCTGAAAGAGAGCAGGGGAGCCATGCCCCAGGAGAGGCCCTCCTTCCTTACCTTCCTGCTCTGCTCCTGGCCCATCACTCACCATCCTCAGGAGGAAGATGAGCTCCTTCTCTCTTCAGCTCCTCGACATCAAATGGCAGCGTCTGCAGCATGGTTAAGACCTCCTCCCCTGGGCTCATAGCGAGTGAACTAGCAAGACCGAGAGACACGAGCGTTTCTTCATGGTGGTGACGTCACTTACTATCTACACTGATGCACCATCTCAACTATTCAGATGGAGTAAATCCAATACACGGCTGGAGGCTTAGAAAACTCACACGGGTAATAAGTTACCCCTACCCCACAGTGTGCAGACACTACCGGGCAAGAAAGGGTCATAATAAATGGCAAAACACAGGTGGGTGTGGCAGTGTGTGTCTGTGATCCCAGCACTTGAAAGGTGGAGGCAAGAGGATCAGGAGTTCAAAACCAGTCTCAGCTGTACAGAAGGTTTGAGGCCAGCATGGATTAAAAAGACCCTGAGGATCAACCAACAAAACAAAACCCTAAAAACAACTTTTTTAAAATGGCAAATATAGTCATTTAAGAACAGCAAATACTAAAGAGACATGGAAGAGGCAATTATTACTTTTATTAAGGTATGAACAAGGTTGTTTTTTGTTTGTTTGTTTTGTTTTGTTTTTAAAGAAAAGACAGGGCCTGAACCTGGCTCAGTGGGTAAAGACGCCTGCTACCAAACCCAATGACCCGAGCGTGACCCTCAGGACCTGCACGGTGGAGGGGAAACTGACTCCTGCAAGGTGACTTTAACTTCCACAAGCATGCCGTGGTCCCCATGCACCCAGAACACTCACAGCTCAGTGTGTTTTTAAGTGCATCATCAAGTATATGTGAGGAAATACACATTTTACTTAGACTTAACCATTCTACAGTGGATATACACTTTAAAACACCACACTGAGCCGGGCGATGGTGACACACACCTTTAATCCCATCACTCAGGAGGCAGAGGTAGGCGGATCTGTGAGTTCGAGGCCAGCCTAGTCTACAAGAGCAAGTTCCAGGACAGCCAAGGCTACACAGAGAAACCCTATCTTAGAAAAACAAAAACAAAAACAAAACAAAACAAAAAAACCCCACTACATTGTACATAAAACACGTGCATAATTTTCTCTGTCACTGAAAGAAAATACACTGCAATTCATTTATCCATTTTGGATGGATATTTAAGGTACCTGCACATTTTCATTATTATAATCTCCAATAAATTTGAAGAGATGGGAGACTGGCATTATCCGAGGTATATTTGCCTGGCTCTAATGGCTGACATGGAAGAAAAGAGTCACTAGAGGTTGGGAAGCCAGTGTAGGTGTGAACACAGCTGAAGAGATAAGAGTGTGGGGGGACAGCAGGGAGAAGCAGGACACAGATGACAATGACAGAAGCTGCAGACCAGACCAAGGGCAGTGGGGATGTGCTGCTGCTGCTGCTGCTGCTGCTGCTGCTGCTGCTGCTGCTAGAAGACACGAGACTGTCTAGCAGGGTAGCGCCTGCTTGGGGGGTAGAGGGAGGAGATCAGAAGTTCAAGCTTGATCTCAGCTACACAGCAAGTTCAAGGCTAGCCTGGGCTATACAAGACCCTGTCTCAAAACTAAGACAGAAAGTCATGAACCCTTATTAAAAAGCTCCAAGGATGGGGCTGGAGAGATGGCTCAGAGGTTAAGAGAACTGAAAGCTCTTTCAGAGGTCCTGAGTTTAGTTCCCAGCAAACAACCACATGGTGGCTCACAACCATCTGTAATGAGATCTGGCGCCCTCTTCTGGTGTGCAGTCATACATGCAGACCAAACACTGTATACATAATAAATAAATAAAAATCTTAAGAGCTCTAAGGACTGGAGAAATAGTTCAGTGGTTAAGAGCACTTAACTCTTGCAAAGCATTCAGAAGAAGATGTCTAAGCTTTGGATTCAAGAACAGGTCAGGAGGGAGACAGGAGTTTGGTTTATAATAGTTTAAAAGGCCACTCATGGTGGTTCATGTTCTTAATTGCAGAACCTGGGAGGAAGAGGCAAGAGGAAAAAGAATGTAAGATCAGCTGGGCTACATAGTGAGACTCTGATTCAAATATCAAAAGATCAAGGCAAACCACATCAACACGAAACTGCTGAAAAAATGACCAGTGTGAGAAATGGGAGTCTCTCTCTCCTGAAACTTTCAAATGCTGGTTATTTTGTTTCTTGAGTCAAGGTCTCTCTATTGGCCAGGTTGGCCTCAAACTCATAGTGATCCTCCTGCTTCAGTTTCCAGAGAGCTAGGATTACACCCATGAACCACCACACTCTCTTAAAATATTAGAGGTTTAAGCAGCTTGTATATTTTCCTCAGTAGCAAAAACAGTTGTGTGCCTTATGGTACATCCACTTCCTTATTGTGTTATCGAGAACTATAGGGGACTAGAGAGGTGGCTCAGAAGTTAAGACCATTGGTTGTTCATCCAGATGACTGGCTTTAATTCCCAGCACCCACATGGCGGTAACTGTTCTCAACCCAGCTCCAGGGGCTCTAACACCATCTTCTGTCTTCCTTAGGTACCAGGCATGTACGTGGTACAGACACACAAGCAAAACACTCATATACATACAAACCACAAATTTAAAAAAAAGAATTGTACTCATAGAAAAATGAATGAGTAAAATTATACAGGAATAAAAATATCTATAATATAGATACAAACAGTAAAAATATCTAGAAACCAATAAATCAAAATAATAATGGTCAACTTTGGTATAAATATTTTCCTAATCACATCATTCTCTACTTACACTAAAATATTTATGTTATTTTCATAGCAACAACAAAAATCTTACTTATGGAAGGTGAGATGCCCATGGTAGCCTGATAAACTGAGTTTAATCCCCCGTGGATTGCTCGTGTCTGTATCCATACACACATTACACATACATACAGCCATGATACTTTTATAAAATATATTAGTTAAAAGAACTATCCGACCAGCAGCCTGCCTTCTCCGTGGTGGGTCCTAGTTCTAACTCACCTTTCTGGCCGGTGGATGGAGAGCTGGAAGTAGTTCTTTGCCATTTCTAGTCTTTCCTGGTACTGAGCAGAGCCTTCCATCAGTCCCTTGAAAACACAATACCAGTCATTAGAACAGCACTTATCCAGTGTGAGTGCTCCACCATTAGAACATCACTTATCCAGTGAGTGCTCCACCACTAGAACATGACTTACAGTGTGAGTGCTCCACCATTAGAACAGCACTTATACAGTGTGAGTGCTCCACCATTAGAACA